CGACCTCGATTACCTTTGGTCAAACTTTATAACTTTCGAGATACACTTGAACACGTTACCTGGCCGTGCATGCAAGGAATCAAGCAAGTAACCTCATTTTATTTCATATGACCCTTCTTTCAGTCGAGAGAACAAAGCTTAATACAATGATAGTCTCTGATAATTTTCCATTTTCAACAATAAAACCAATAACACTAATCGCATTTTCTGGATTTCATTACCCTTCTCAATAATTCAATATGAAAAAAGAAAAACTATAAGCTTTTTATGTGCTGCAATTGTAACACGTGTATGTGCATTAGTGCTTTAAAAGTTTGATGTCTTAAATCAAGCATTGCAACAAAATTTATAATTTAGGAAAATGAATTTGTATAAGTGCAAAACTCATCACAATGCTAACACTTAAACAACTTTACAACTTAATGTATGTGCTAAATATAAACCCTATACTATTATAATTACAATGGCCTACTACCGCCCAGGTAATTAGATGAAACACATATTGATCTAAAAATGAGCATATTGTCATATTCGTAGTCTGTCGATTTCAGAAAAACGCTTCATTATTGTTTATAATACCTGTAAAGCAAAAGAACTTTTAGTGTAAGAAATACGTAAGTCAGTATTCATCAGTGAAAAAAACTAGCAACATGAAAGTTATTAATCGTTGATATGTATATTGAGTATAATCGGATATAATACGTATTTCGGTACTGTTATAAACATGCTCGTAATTATCGTCATTATTCAATCCCATGATGTTAGCACATGTTTCTGTTAGGCGATGAAATGAGCATAGAAATATACTGATTGAAAAAAATACTCTCTAATCGAAAAAACAAGAATTATAATCTGAAGTGTTACGGATTTCTGAAAAAATAGAAAAAAATTCCTGAAAGTTCAACGCTGCTGCTTCGCACCGCGACGATAAAAAGAGTAAACTGTCACAGGTGCACTGCTACCGTGGCGCCATGGACATCTGTGACTCCTTGGAATACCTTCTGCACGAGTCAATTTCATATTTCTCACTAGCTGGCCATGTAGCTTTGCATGTGATCGAATTGATTGCCTACTTCAGACTTGCAGAAAAGATTTTCATGCATGCACTGTTGTTGGTATGAGCGACCACCTGTTCAATCTAATTAATCCTTCATTATCATCGAACAGTTCAATAGCATTTCCAGCAAATGAATGTTGTCATGGTTTTCTCACAATGTTTTTACATGAATTTGATCAGTCAGATTCATTTTCCTGGGATGAATTCAAGGAGAAAGCTCTTATCAGCTACAAACAGAATTGTAGCCTAGAGATAATGAAACAGACGAATGGTGTGAGTCGGTTGCCTGGATTGTTATAGGTCGTACTAGATGGTCGGAATTTAATTTTTTCTATATCTTTTTTCAACTTGAGGATCACCATAGATCATTGTTGAGTTATACTTTTACGATTATCTATTTTTTTGTAGCGCAAAACAATTGTTTAAAAACTGTGTGCTTCAAGGTGTCATTCTTTACGAATATGAATCGACAATATACCCAGTTTATGAGCAGCGATTGCAAGGTTTTTACAGATTCTTGATTGATTCTTGAATGTTTCAAGATCTTATCATGCTCATCAAACATAACGAAGCATTGAGTAAGGAGATACTTCGAGTACTACTACATAATCTTTCAGTCAGTGGCTCCGAATATGGCATTAGCAGAATCATGTCGACACAACATGGCTAATCTTTTGCCACTTTGACGACATACAGTTCGCGATATATGTGCTGTTCGACTTGATGCACAAGAATGCTATGAACAGGTTGCAAGAGATCGTTTCGAGCCACTTTTAAGAAGCCTTGAAGATTTACGTAAAGCTGAATATGCTGCTTGTCAAAGTATTCATATCGTATTGGCTGATTTTGAGTGCACGAATGAAGCAGAAATATGGATCTGTCGAAGACGAGTAATGCATGGCTTTGAATAGCATGATGCTGAATGTTCGAATACTATTGCAGCACAACTGGTTCAATACATTCTTGAATTATTGAGGAAACAGGACAACATACCAATACCATTAATACGTTCAATAATTTGAGTTTTATGCACTTGGAAAGGACTTTTCTCTTTTCTTTATGATGAGTTCGATTCGATGCCGAGGATCTTCACATTGATTATGTTACTAATCGCTAAACGTCAGTATGCTCTTATACTCAGAGGACTTCGACTGAGTACCAAAATCTTCAACGGCGGCGAAGTTGAGCACAAGCATGTCATTGTTTGTTTAAAACATGATGCATTTGTCGCATGCAAAACTATTGACGTGATAAAACGGATTTTATCACCATATCAGGCATCCAAGATTCAATGAAAAAAAAGAAATCAAAGACAAAAATACTGAGTAAGTTGTACAATATATTCTACTTGTGCAAGTGTCATGTTCTAGAAAAAATGAGTCAAACAATCAAGAACTGTCGTTAAAATGAGCAGAAAGCTGATGCTTCAAGCATGCAATTATTCTGGTTTCTTAACTGTATGTTCAATGTCTCGCTTTCCTATTATATCGCTCAATTAAGTATTGTGACTAAAGCACAATCAACGATGTGCGTATGCTTATTGAAACTATTGATAGTTTAGTTCATACTTGATTTTCTTGTCCAATGAATCAGGAAAAGCCGTCATTTTTATGCTAGTCAGAGATTTATGTACTATAATTATTCCAGAGGCTATTCACTCCTCTTATGTTTCAGCAGTAGATCGATGGATCAGTGATTACATTTGTACTCGCTACTCATTCAATCTATATGCAAAGATACTGATTTCAAAGATGTCACCTAAACTAAAAAGTTAATTGTATCCTCCATTACAGATGAGGATAAATCGACGATGGTAACTACTGCAGAAAGAACGGAACTAATAATCACTCCATTTTCCAGGTTAAATCTTTTTCAAGGTTTCATTCTATCCTACTTTCACTTGAATTGTAAATATCATGAGATTGTACTTCAAGGACACATCAACAATCATTCAAGCAGAAAACTCCTGAATATGGAATGGGAAAAGTTTGATCTATTAGAATTAAAACATGATCATGCGCGACTCAAACACGAAAACAACTCTATACAAGACAAAATCTCTCAAGTGTATCATGAACTTCGAGCAATGCAATCAGAGCGTTATCAATTTCAAGTGCGAAATACTCAGCTAGCACAAGTGACAGATCAAGTCAAGCTGACACCCGCCTCAAACCTGAGAGTAGAAACGCAATTTTTCACACTGCTAGATTCTGTATCTAAAAATGTTTGACAGAATATGAGTGAAAAATGATGAACTCTTCCGCTATAAGCTATGACTACAGAGCGAGCAGAGAATTTCATTCGAGCAATTCATCATCAACGAATGATATTCAACGACAAAAGTAAGTGAAAATCTATTTGTGAATCTCCGATACATTCCAGTTCCCATGTGTGCACTTCACCAGCCCATCTTCTTCATGAATTCATTTAGGTATGAATTCTTTTCATAAACTTTATCTTTTCAGTTTGTGTTTGTAGAATGTCGAAGATACTTTGTGTAATTCAACAGTCACACCTCATTTACGTACAGAAATCAATCACGGTTTTATTCTTCTGCAGAACGATGATCCAGGCTTACGAGCGTCCGATGGCTTAGATCTTTGTACACAGTTGGAAATAATATTATTCCAGTGGTACCGCTATAATTTCAAATAGAGTAAATAATGAATTTTATACCAAATAAAGGCTCGACGAAAATGAAGTTTATTGGTACTAAATAATAAGGGTTATGAAAACTTTCATATGTTGAACTCTCAAAATTTATAATATTTAACAGATATGAAGTATGAGAAAAACTATTCATCAGATAAAGTTCGAAATAAATCTGCTAGAAAATAGTTTATGTTTTCATCTTTAATGAATGCAATCAATAATTAGTATGACGACTGTTACCATTCTTTACTGCATGAAGGCAAGATGGATACGAACATAAAAGTGTTTCAAATAACTCACTATCTGTTTCCATGTGGGTCAAAACATTCGAAATGAGCATTTTGAGTGCGTCTTCAAGACAACAATTATGTCCAATCTCTGATAACATTTTTTTTTCAATTTCATCTTTGGTTATTGATCCAATATGTTCTATCGCGTTGAGATCTGATGAATTTTCGGGCCAGATATCATTACTCCAAAATTTAACGCCATTGTCTTGAAGTAAGTGTTGGATCTTATTTTATCGCATACACGGTGCTTTATCATGAACAAATACAACTTCATCAGAATCAATAACATTTTCTTAATTCTTTAAGAAAAGAAATACATTTTGAGTTAAAATTATGTCAGGAAAATATCGACCAGCTCAAGATTCACCTTGATTTTTAATCACCCAAAGTAACCTCTTGCAAGTAAACATAACAAAAACCCCAATACATACTTGACTTTTAACTATTTTACGGTATGTTTCATCTTCTTCAACATCTCCGACACTTCTTGCCCAAATTCTATCATTCTCATGATTTGGTCTACGAACAATCCAGACATAAAACTCATCAGACGGTGTGAGATGAAGAAAGTCCTCTTCGGTCCAATCTTTTAATCAATTGCACAGTCATAAGCGATCTAATAGACGAGATTCCAATTTTAACGGCGTTGAAATAGCGTCGAATGGCTTTAATCCTTCTCTATGCCGGTAATTATTGATTGTTCTTGGAACGACGTATTCTTTTTTGCTTTTCTGCCATTTCCTTCGTCACAATAGAACAACTTTTTTCTTGTCGCTCACTTGCATTAAGAATGATATGTGTAATATTGGGAAGCCATTTTATGTGCTGATTGGAATCGAATTCTGATAATATCACGTGCATGAGTATCAGTACAATATTGAATTGGGAATTCGACATTGGGATCTATCAAATCTATAGTGCCCGCATGTTCTTCTGCATAGCTCCGGGCTCTTTTCAATTGATAGATTCCTAAAATGACAATAGTGTAGATGTCAAATTGTTCACAATGAAATACCTAGAGTTAAAGCCCTAATATCACTATGTGATAATTTAGGAAAGGTTTGAGGTAAATGATGAATGTTAGTGACATTCCAAATTGAATTGAGGGTTAATTGATTGTCGTTCAAATATATTAGCAAAGTGTTGCTTTTTTCTCTCAGCAAGTTCATACGATGAATAATATCATCATCACCTGGAGATGGGCTTGTCATCGGAACATGAAAGCAATTGAGGAATGCTGCTAATGTATAGATAAAATCTTGGATATATGATAACGAGGAATTAGGTATAACTTGAGCAAACCATTTGAAGCGCTTGATGCGCGCATTGACGCTCTCTACCACCCATCGTAACATTGTCAGGAAGCAAGAATTGTTGGCATCTTGAACATCAAATTGCTTTCGTTTTGGACCGAGGAAAGATGGCATAGCAACATCAATACCAAGAGACTTTAAAACACCTAATGAATCACGAAAACCTCGATCGAGGATCATAATATCATTTTCTTGAATCCAGTTCAATATATCATCATAATTATTGATCATTATGTGCTTTAAAATTGATGCGTCGTTGTTGCTATTATCCGAAAAAAATGGACCAAATACACCGACTATGTAGCCCGTAGTTGTGACAACAAGCATCGGCTTGACAAGTGATCGATTCTTGTGTAGATTGAATGTTTTGCGCTGCATTTCGTTATTGCGACTTTTCTACTAGTCAAAATGAAATTTTTAAGGTACAAAAATATACAGAAAATCGAACTCACCTGAATATATAGATAAGTTCCATCGAGGACCAAAATGCAAGGATTCCGATTTTCAGTTAATAGCCGGATAGCAATAGACGACGTGTGCTTGTCAATAAGTTCTTGCCGAGTAATATGTGCAAGACCGAGATATGATGGAAGGAAATATTTCACCGGAGCAAGACAAGTACTATGTATAATATCGCTCACTTTGCGTTTGTTATCGATGCCCAGCACAGAAACAAGTGCTGCATTGCTTATTCCAAGTCTTAAGTTCAATAATAACCATGCAAGTGCACAACGAGGAGATCGATTGACCGAATTCTTTAAAGCAGTTGATAGAATGCATTCAAGAACACGATTATGTTGCTTTCGTGTGAAACCGGGGAGGATTTTATGATCGGCGTCTGATAACGAGGAAGGATCATCAAAATCTAAACGTTTTTGACAATTGACCATTGTTCGAAGTTTTTTCATGGTGTCAATAATACTTAGGGCTGACCAAAAGTTCTAAGCCCTGTGTTTGAAGGACCTTGTCGGATAAGGTAACCTATTCAGAAATGAGAAACCAAGTATACCATATTGTAGAGCATTTTCAGGCGCATGGAATGGTATATAATAAATCCTGTTTTCATAAAACTTTGAAGGGATTCGAGCGAATTTACGGATGGACGACTACACACCTACAATCACATTCACCGATAGCCATACTGACGAGATGATCGAAGATGCTACGTATATAAGGTTTTAACCTGTCAAAAACTCTACAAAGTCATATGTAAGAAAAAATATTTTACAAATACTTTCGACTAATATCGAAGACCACATTATTCAGTATCATATCATGCTTAGCTGTCGGTATCGATGTGAGCGTGTAGTCGTCTACCAGTAAATTGACTCTAGTTCCTTCAAAGTTTTATGAAAACAGGATTTACTCTTTCCCATTCGATGCGCCTAAAAATGCTCTACAATATGGTATACTTGGTTTCTCATTCCTGAATAGGTTACCTTATCCGACAAGGTCCTTCAAACACAGGGCTTAGAACTTTTGGTTAGCCCTAAGTATAATTACTATCAAATATTCGATAATTAATTTTGTAAGCAGTTAACTTAAAGAAGGCTTCACGCGATAAATATCCATTGGACGTATGATCTTTGCAACAACGTGACCTTTTTGGAATATCAATATTACGACGAATTAAGATATTGTTTCGATCCTCCTTCTTAACAGTGATTGTAGGTGAAACCAATGGAGTACGGCACACGCAACACTGACTAAAATCAAGAATTTTCTAAAATCAACAGTAAAATTAATTTTTACCTTTTTGATGCAATAGCTATACCAATAGGTAGTTTCAAACTACCATGAACAGCACTAATTGATTCATTACGAACCAATAAATTATTCTATGATGCGTGAAAAATTAATAGAAAACAAATATATATATAATTATCTTATACATACATCATTAGAAACTACATTTAAATTAATTGAATCATTTCCATTACACGCGATATCATTCTCCATTTCATTATCCTAAAACAAAATTCGAACATATATATATCTATATATATATACTATCATCTTAATATGTTTATCAGTCGAACTCACATAGGAATCATTTGAACTACTTTCATCAGATTCATTCTCATCCATCATTTCGTTATCCTAAGAAGATAAAAAGAAAATTTTGAATATTTGAATACAAAAAATATTCAGTAACTTACATCTTTTTCATTTGAACTACATTCATCACATTCTTTACCATCCATCATTTCATTATCCTAAGAAGAAAAAAAGAAAAGTTTTCAAAATTTATGCGTATCTAACCACCTTACATATTGATCATGTGAAACATTTCCATTCTTTGATTCATCACATTCTTTATGTGTCACATTGATATATATTTACTTGGATCATTAATTTTTAATAATATTTCTTTTACATGAGACTCTGCTGACCAATTTTTAAATATCCAACGACATTTTGCACAGATAAAACAGCCAACAGGTATTGGTGAAGGAAATAGACGAGCACTAACGAAAATCCAGAGCCGATTGTTAATCACAGGGCGTTTACCATTTTTTACCAAGTCGTTTTCCACAACAAATGCCATCTCTTTCACCAACCATACTTTACAGATAACACAATCGATTTGATAAACAACGGGAAAATAGCTATTTTAATAAGCAATGGAGCACAGACTATATATGTCAATGACTAAACCAAACTATGTGTCCATATTTTCTTCTATTCATTCATCTGTCCTCCATCACCAATATAAGATGTTAGGTCCTTTTTCCCGTTTCTTTATTCCTTCTTTCTTCACAAAAACAAACAACTGAATCAATCAAAAAATAAAAAGCAGCCAAGAATGTTCTTTCTCTCTTTCTCTCCTCTTCCACCGGTTGGTTCCATCTCCTAACTATGATAGAGGGATAAAGATGGCCGTCTTATGTCAGGAGATGTCTCTACTGACATAACATAAGATATCAGAAGTACCAATAACCGTTCAAATGACATAGGGGCAACACGCGATTCTCATTCGACAACGCTTATTGAATTTTATGCACTACGATGATTCACTTACATCATATAAGATAAATCATCATTTATATACACCAATTTTTTCCCTCTGTAATACGATAATTACAAAAGTTACCTTCGAGCTGGTAATGCAGACTTTAAGAACCTCGAATATTGCTATCTTTCATAGATCGACACAAAACCTGTTCTCTCATAGGAACACCAGAATTGAACTTTCGTGGAAGAAAACCCTGCTTCTAGAGTATTAGTACTTCGAATACGCATTGTATACACTTGATATTATAACTAGGATAATACAGTAATAATTGAAGGTACTCTGCAAGCATTTGAAAGCCAGATGTTCTTATGATTTTGTAGGCTACAATAGGAACTATCTATGCAGAAAAAAATGACGGCGGGGTGTAGTCGAATAATAGAGAAAAGGGTATACAAGCCAAGAGTCCGTTGTCATCTGTGTATAGATTTTACAGGTATCTGTATCAAAAGTACTGTATATGATAGTTGAACCATATATATTTTTATACAGTTTTGTTAAGCATTTTCTGGCACACCGCCTGATATATAACAGTAGTTTCTTTGGTGTGTTTTGTAGTGCTATGTGCCCTTAAGTCCCTCTATCTGCTACGTCTAATATATTCATAACCATATATATGCCGAATTGTTAGTAAAAAGTATTATCTTGGTAAGAAATTTGATACAGATAAATACTAGAGTTCATTATCTTTCTAACCATACAAAATTCGTGGAGATTTTCTGAAAATTTTCAAATAGGGCTTATTTTGCTAGAATATCCACCCCCGTCCTTTATTAAGAAGAGAATTGCCACGTTGTTCGATGTTCTATAGGATCTGATAGCTATTCGAATAGAATTTGACAGGATCCGACGATTGGGTCTCCCTTTCTGAGTACCACTAACGAGAAAAAATGTACCACATATGTTCTATGAGCCATAAACAAACATAGTCTCTTTCAAGAACTGTGTGTTTTTTAAACA